TAGCACGCTCATTTGCGGTCTTCATTAGTTCGAACCTTTGCAAACGTTGGGTCATGCGATTAACTTCGTCGCGGATACAATGCAATGCCCTTTGTAATAACAGGGGAGTGTCAGTTGGCATAAGCATGGCTAACCGGCGAGGAAATCTAATATTAACTTCACGACATAGCTCAACGAGAACGTTTGCTCGAGTTATGCGAAATTCCCACTCAGCTCTCATGGTATTGACGGCGGCATGTGAGTAACGCAAATTTGGATTTAATGGGTATTGAAATTCATCTCCATCTGCAACCCAATGGTGACCCATTGCTGAATATAGATCAACCACCGTATATCTCATAATGATATTGCTCGATATAGCTATAAAACTTTTATTGTTGTATGATGTAATATTTATACCACATATACGCAATTGTTGTAACATACACAAATTCAAAATAAAGATGGACGCAAGTATTCATGTCTTATAAACTCTAAACTCACATGCCGACAATGAAGTATTGATACTTTAGGAAGTTCACATCGTAGCTGTATGTTTGAAATTATTGAAAACAACTATGCATCAGAGTTGCCACGTCAACTTTTATGACTTGAACAACTATGCATCAACTTTGTAGGAGTTGTCACTTCGACTTTTATTGACTACTCAGTGCATGTCAGAAGGTTTTAAGTAAAGTTCAAATCCGCTTAAAAATTTAATTTCACTTTTCCGCTTACAAATATAATTCAATTTATTTTGCCGTGACAATATATTTAATTTCACTTTTCACCTTACATATTTAATTTAATTTAATTGGAGAAATTTAACCAATTTAATTTCAAGTTAACTATGTGTTGATTTAAGTCGATGCTGTTCTTGTCTGCATACTAGGCTAACTTTTATTTGTAACATTTTCAAGTTCTATACATCGAAAAACCCATTCATTCTAACTCTACTACAAATTAATCTTCAATACATTATAATTCTATAATATTTTATCTTCAAGGTTTATGAATCTATTTGAAGCTGCATAGGGTGGCTTTTTAAACACAAATGGTCTAATTGTTTTGTTGTTTTGTTCTGACACCCCCTCATCCCATTATGAATTGTAGAAATTCACATGAGCACAATAGCTATGGTACAACCTCTTAATTTTTTTTCATATAGTGAGTAGTCTCGTCAAAGTCGGCACAGTGATACGTCTAACATTTCTCAGTGATGCAGTGACTTTAACAGACATAATAAATTATATTCTTTGTTTTTTTTTCAGATGCTATGTGACTTTGTGCAGCGATGTAATGATGCATGCGACTTTTTTCCTCAGATGCAGTGATGCATGTGATGCATGTGACTTTGTACAGTGATGCAGTGATGCATGTGACTTTCCGACTTTGTAAATTATATACTCTGTGACTTTTTTCCTCACATGCAGTGATGCATGTGACTTTGTATAGTGTGACTTAGATGCTTTGTTTTTTCCTCACATTTCAGAACTCATCTAAGTCACATTAATACGACCACATGGCAATAGTGTTGACAAACAACTGTATAAAGGACTGACGGAGTGATGGTAAGCACACAACCTTTCCACCCAGTTTGCCTTAGGAAACTATCGTTCATCTATTGAGAAAAAATCAAATGGAGTATAAATTCACGGCAGGGGGTAGGAATCGCAGAAGTGAGAGTTCACGACAAGGAAGAGGAACGGAAAGGGGGTTCGCAGGGGGTAGGAACTTTGAAAGAGTTGAGAGTTCATGCCGAGGAAGAGGAACGGGAAGGGGAAGTGGCGATGCTGAAGATGAAACACCATTTTCTTTGTTAGATGCCTCTTGTGCTTATCATGATAGGTTTGGGAAACGACATTTTATCATGCCCAAGTACTATCGAGATCCATGTGGTTTCGTGGAGGATCCATCTGATAATCAAACTGGACATGGTTTAGCAAAAGCTAGACTTTTGAAGTGGCTCACACAATTTATAGAGCGAGTGCAAATGGAAAGATTATGTCGGGAAAATCGACTGAATGTGCCGATAGCATGTTCAATTGAGATCCAAAAGGAAGATCCAGATAATGTTGATCGACTATGTGAAAGACTTCGACGTGAGATTTCTCAAATGCGCCGTAGGTCAGCCCGCGATATGAAACTATCTATACTTAAGTCAGATGCCAAGAAGAATGGAACAACACCAAATGCTGCGGTTATCAAGGCTATCAAGGACGATCCTGCACTTCTCTCTGACCCTGAGCTCTCTAATTGTTTGGACTCTGAGATTGCCGATTTGAGCGAAGATTAGGCATCTATCTGTCTACTAAATTATATTAGGTTATCCATAATTATGTGTTGTGTGTGTTAAAATAACTCTTTCGACAGTGAGTTTGTGAAAGGTTTGCCTAATATTTGTCTATGTAACTGTTAAGTATTATATTCGTCGCTTTATTTTATGTATTGTGTTATGTTGAATGTTTCCACAAATTATTTTTGTGAGATACTTATGTTTGAACTACCTATGTCGTTCTAAAGTGTTATAAGTGTTATAGTCATACCTTTATTTTGTCTTCCTATTCATAGTAGTAATTAGCAAATTAGATACTTTGTATATGCTGTGTGAAGTTTTATTTAAATATTTCTTGGCAACAAATATTTAAGGGAACAACAAATATTTAGTTTCGAAAATTCCGCAAAAGTAGGCTTAGTTTGGGAAATAAATTAGTATAGGGGCTTAGTTTGGGAAAAGAAAGCCCCGACAAAATCTCTCTGAAACTGCGCAAAATGTTCTGTGGGAGGGTGCGTGTCTCGAGGCCATTATTTTCTTCTTCTTTTTTAATTTTTAATTTTTTATTTGTTGTTTTTATTTTTGTCCATCATCGATCTTTTTTAAATTATATTTGAATTATATAACAAAATAAAATTTAATTTAAAAATTTATATTTAAATAACAATTTAAAAACTATCAGGTAAATAAAGCAAATATTTAATTTACATTTTTTCATATTTTTTTTTTACTTTTATATTTTTAAAGTCATAAGCGGTGATCATTGATTCAATAGTAAAATCTTAGTCTAATAATCTTTGATATGATGTTTATGCTTGCTTGTTTGTGATTTTCTTTTTATTTTTTTTATGCCACATCATTACAGCTTAAATCAGAACTTTAGTGTTAGAACTCTTAATCGCTACTCTTTAGACAATTCATGCTGTTTCTTTTTTTAAAATTTTATGTATAAATTATTTATGTAAATATCAAATTGATCTGATAATCGTGCATATAATTTTATCATTTTTAAAAAAATAATGGATGCGAAACATAATTTGAAAATTACATAATTTATTTTTAAATATTAAAATAATAAAATTTGGTAGCTAAGATTGTTTATCAATACGATATTTTATATGAATAATTTATATATAGAGATTTACAAGATGACTGAGCGAATTATAGAATGTGGATTGAATAATAATAATAATAATCAACAATTGTGGGTTGGTGTTGGTTCAAAAGCGTGGTTACGAACCACGCTTTCTTTAAAAACCAATTTTTCATTAAAAGCGTGATTTATAACCACACTTTCTTTACAAAACAGTTTTATTTAAAAACGTGATTTCTAAACACGCTTTCTTTACACACACAAATTTTCTTAAAAGCGTGATTTCTAACCATGCTTTCTTAATTAAAACCATACTTTGCAACCACGCTTTTATGATTTTATAAATTTTCCACACCGGGGCCAAAAATATTGTGAAAACATGTTTTGGAATAACGTTTCAACTTATTTTGAGAATTCCGTCCAAACTAGGCTTAGTTTGGGAAATCGGTTACTATTTTGGCTTATTTTGGGAAAAGGCTCCAATATTTTTACTAATGTCTAAGGTCTCTCAATTTGATTCAGAGAAAATTCGACTTTACGGAGAAAATCTTTCTCTAGACTCACTTCAACCTAGAGAAATTCACAAAAATGCAGAGAAAATTCCCTTCCAACCTAGAGAAATATTCCCTTCAAACCCAGAGAAATTCACAAAAATTCACAAAAACCCAGAGAAATTTCCCTTCTCTCTAGAGAAAGACCCACAATTTCCAAAACTCCGAAGCAACAAAGGCTGGTTGAGACCACCCAACCCATTTACAGTAGCGGTCGAGATGGGATTAGGGAATGAAGTGGGAAGAAGGTAGTGGTTGTAAAGATTGAGAGATTGAAGTGGATTGGGATGGTTCATCTCCTTTCACTTCTCTTGCAATTTGAGCCGTTCGAGTTCGAGCTGAGCCACATCTATGCCTCTTTGTGGCTATTTCTTCTTCTGTTAAATGTCTTTAGAGTGGCTGACGAAGCGGTGAGCAATGATGTCGATGGAGAGATCCCAGAGGCGGAGCTCGGAGTCCCAGCCGCCGAAGAGAGCGAACTGGCCATGCAGGAAGTTCACGCTGTCAAAGAAGTGAAAGTGGCCGGTGAGAGGCGGGGGCAACGGCGACGGTGGTGGCCATTGAAGAGAGTGAAGTGAGGTTTGAGAGAGAGAGAGAGAGAGAGAGAGAGAAGGTAGAGAGAGAGAAATGAGTTTGATTTGAGAGAATTAAATTTCTCTGTAATATAGGAGAAGGGACCTTAAACATTATAAAAAAATATTGTAGATCTCTTCCATTACCAAAAATGAGAGAGGGACCTTAAACTAATTTTCCATTTAATTTTATATCATACTTATACTTTTAATTGCTTGCTTCTTCAGATTCAAAGAGCTTGCTTTAGTTTAAGTCACTGATTGCTGCACAATCTTCAACTGCATTACATCTCTATTTGCATTGGAGCAAACCAAATCAAACCGAGTCACAGCAAGAAAGGTCCTCCACTGGTAGAATTGTAGACGCTTCTCCACCAATTGTTTGCCCCTTTCCCTCAAGTGTTTGCATTCGTCTGCGTGCCCACTCGGAGCATGAATGGCGAGCAGTTCATCAGAAACAAGACAACACAATGTGTTTCAGTCCATCTGAAAGGAGTTTCTGATATGTCACTTTTACAAGAATTATCGCAAGACAGCAACACAAAAAGACTAGATATATATATATATGCCTTCAATTATTCCAAGTGTACAGAAGCCTCGAACAAATAGTCACAGCTCACAATTATACAGGCAAAACAACAGGGTTCCAATACGAACATAATTCGAAAAATAAAACAAAATAAAATAAACAAAGCAATTCAAGGGAATATACCCCAAATCTCCAAACAAACGATCTCTGTTGGCGAAAGTAAAACCAAAACAACTAGAGCCAAATACTTTCTATGCACAATCAAGATCAGAAAAAACCATTACCGACCAAACCAACTTCTCTGGGGCTGGCCTTCTCCGCCATCATTCATCAACTTGTCCAACACTACATTCAAATCAACTGCCTGTCCATTCTCTGTCAACTTCCGAACAGTGGCTCTCACTTGGTCTCTTGTGAATCCCATACCCGTTACCTTGTCAACCACATCATCGATAGGAACCCTGTTACCAGACCCAGAAGAACCGGACCCACCACCAACCCCAGAAGCAGTTGGCAGTGCATGAGGTAATATACGAGCCGTGGGGAGCTGAGGGTAATTGGGTCCCCCCCCGCCGCCCTGGGCTGCAGCAGAAGACAGTTGTTGTTGTTGTTTCATGGAACCACTACTACCCAAAGAAGGTGGTCCGCCACCACCATACTGAGGAGGGGGCCCATTGTAAGGATACGATGGTTCATTGGTCCCAGATGTGGGGCCGTATGCAGTAGAAAATCCTGAATTTGGTCTACTAGATGGTGGTTCATACATGTGGGATGGAGCCCCATAAGGATTTCCACTGGGTGGATGAGGAGGTTGGCGCAGGCTTGGTGGGTAGTTCAGAGGGGGAGGGTAAGGTACTTCTTCGGGGTGGTGCCCTAATGAAGGTTGTTGAGGTTGGGAAGGATTAACTGCCGGGAGAGATGGGTGGAGTTGAGGTGGTGGGGGTGGCTGAGAGTACTGTGGTGGGTGAGGAGGTGGCTGATATTGTTGCTGTGGCGGTGCTGGAAGCGGGGGTTGCAGCTGCTGAGGAGGAGGTAGCTGATATTGCTGATTTGTGTGTTCTTGGGTTTGGCCAACTGGAGCAAAGTAAGTCTCTCTCTGAGGCATGTAAGGAATCTGGTTAGGAGGGAATTGGTTTGGAAGCTGAACCGAAGCAGGTAGATTCTGTTGTGAAGCAGTTGGAGGAGCATTGGGTTGTGGTTGTATAATAGCAGGAGGATGAAGCTGTTGGCGAGACTGCTGAGCTACGGATGCTGCCAGCTGCAAAGAATCTGATTGCACAGCGCTTTGGGTTTCTGATTGCTGCTCTACTTTCGACACTTGCAGCTGACCCTCCACTATATCTTGCTTATCCTTTATAACCTGCACACCAGCTTGTACCTGCACGACTTGTTGATTAACACCAGACGTAACAGACTGATCAACAAAACAGTAAAAGCATAGAACAATACGCACAATAAAGCAAAGCATATGGCAAAGATTGATTGGCTATTGCTCCCAACAAAACACAAAAAAGAAAAGAAAAGAAAACCTTCCAATGGGATTGTGAATATACCACATGATTGTAATGTTGGTATGCTATGAAGCACTGTGGTATTGCATCATATCTCAAGCTAACAAGTATGTCAAGGGCATCGTAATTTTTCAAACATTGTCTACTTGTCATTCAGTAAATGAAATTATCGAAGCAGGTAATTTTGCTTCATTTTCACTACGTGTAATAATTTAACAGATGCATCGTTAGAAATAGTAAGCCACAGCTAAAGTTAAATTAGATCCAGTTCCTGTATTAGTTTTCCCTAGCACAGAACCCAGCAGAATAATTTAAACAATAATTCAAACAAGAATCAAGATAGAGGGAAAAGTACCTCTCTAAGAATATTTTCCATTTGCCTCAGATAACCATCGGTACCTTCATGATTGTTCCCAACAGATATTTTCAAATCATCCATTGAACTCTCAAGGTGGCGAGTCCTGCTCTCCAGCTGAGATATCCGTGCACTAACACCTTCCAATACATGCAGTAGATTATCAGCATGTTTCTTCATGGTTCGATCAATCTCGGACACTAAAGCTGCATTATTAACATTATGATCCTTCTCTGAAATGACTGTTGCAGGCTCAATGGATTCAAGAGAACTGTAATTCTGTATAGAACACAGAAGCACCATACCACATGTTAGCAAGAGAATGCACAAAAACAAAGACAGTAGTATATCACTATTCTCCTTACAAGCAACATGACAGTGGTACAACTAGAAGACATCCACAAAGCATAATGTAGTTTAACATAGGGGCAAAATGTGGTTAGGAAATCAACATGTGGATACCACTTCTGTAACATCTAAAAGTATTTACATCAATCCCAAAATTAAATTAATCCTGAGCTTGCATGGATTCAATCTCCTCTATTCTAATTGCATAGAGAAGACAACGCATGATCTCTTCATTCCAGGAAGAGCAAGTTGTGCTCAGTCCACATTTAGTAATGATTACAGATGCTAACAACTGAAGAAAATGAAGCAAGCACTAGCCTCTAACTAGTAGAAGGTGCAACAAATGTAAGCATCATTGAGAACTTACCTGACCAATTATAAAGACTTCCAAACATAAAGATATGCCGAGTACTGTGACACTATGAATGCTTAAATTAAAAGGCCATCTAGCAAAATTCATCATGATGAAAACAAGTCCTATGGAATTAATTATGAACATTAAAAGCCTGAATGTAGGGGAAAAGAGAGAAAAAATTCAAAACAGCCTTTAGAAAACCACTAGGACCTTCTGTTAGACAAGTGAATAGCTATTTTTGTCCTATTGGAATCCAAGCAGAAATCGCACTACACATGTGGGAGATATTAAGTTAATATCCATTTGAGAACTATTCAATAAAAGCCAACATTGCCTCAATCATTCTCGTATTGAATGAAACTAAACTGCACAGTAATGCAAGCAAGTGCAGAAAGTCATGAAACATATAACATTGATATTGAACAAATTCGCAACCTCCTAAGAAAACCCTCCCCCCTCAAAATGACATACACCCTTTCTCTACTGTCAACATTCCCCTCCCTAAAGAAGGCAAGGTTTTATGCAGTAAAGAATATTCAGCAACTATGGAATTTGCTTGGCACCTTATGATTCCCCATGACCCCCAATAACAAGGAAAATAAACCCAACTTCATGTCTAAAACAAGTTTTGAAACTACAAATTGAAGGTTTCTCCAATATCTACAATGTTCTACTGAAATTTCTAATCGTCCCCTCACAAACCCCAATCTATTAAAATTAGCTTAAAAATTTAAGTACAATCTCAAAGACCAATCACATAATAAATTTTGCAAAAAAAAAACCACGTGAATATCAAAACAAATGCCCTCAGGCTGTCCTAAATGGCTTCACATTGACTGCCTAGATATTCAACAGTCCCCATTTTTTTTTCTTCTCAAAACTCCATGAATTCTCTCCGTAATGCCAATAATCCCTCAACACAAAAAAATTGGCAACAAACAAATAAGCCCCAAAACTCTATGTAATGTATCCTCAAAAAATGCCTAGCATAATTCTTCGCAGAAGCATACAAATTCAACTAAATACGAGTTTTTCAAATAGCACATACAATTTTTCATCATAATTTGGATCATTCACAGCATAATTTATATATATATATATATATATATACAAAAATAAATAAATAAATAAGTAAAACCAAAAATCGACAAAAAGAGAGGTCTTACTCTGATACCAACACCAACATCAACACCAGCAGCAGTAGTATTGGACTTTGAGTCAGCAGAGTTCCAAACCCTAGTTCCCCCAACATTACTCAAATCGATATTCGACTGTTGCGAAGCTACGATTGGACGAATCGGCTGAAAATCATAGCTGGGCACGATCTCTTCCTTCTTCCCGCTGCCGACGTGGTTTTCAAGATCGATGAAATCGCTGTTGTTCTGTGAATTTGATAGATCCATGATCTGTTTGTCCATGAACTGCGACGTATTCATCGAGCTCCCAATTCAGTTATATATATATATATGCATACAATTCGAGAGAGAGAGAGACAGAGAGGGAGGGGGGGCGGCAGGGGCAGAATGTTGGGGTGATTTTTATCTTTGGGGATTTATAGGGTTTTGATTTGAAGCTTTAGATGGAAAATGTTACGGACTCGAATGTTGCAGGTGTGGGACTTGAAAAATGTTGGAGATATAAAAATAAAAAAAAAAAAATTATCAGAAAATTTGAGAAGAAAAATAAAAAGTTACGTAAAATATGAAAAAAATATATTTATATTTTATTTAATTTCATATATATTTTTTGTTTTTTTTAAAATTTTTTAACTAAATATAAATATTTTATATGAATATGAGACTTGCACAAGATGTACATGCCTATGTGAAATATTTAATAAAAATTTTAATAAATTTTGAGATCTCTAATATTATTCACAAAACTTACATCATGTAAATCTTTATATAAATCTCAAATTTATATAAAATATTTGGTAAAAATATTAATAAATTTTTTTTTTTTGTTGGTTACAGGAAAATCTTCCGTTCTGAGTAAGAAATTATAACCTGAAAGCTTGTCCCGAGTAAAAGACTACCTGTGCTACGCCCAAGAATCTTAACTAACTGTAACCCGAGACCTAAGGACTTAAACAGCAGGTCCTTACCAGGTTGCCACACCACCCTGGGTTATTAATAAAAAATTTAACATTACTCTTACGAAATTATCAGATTCTGACAAAACGACTTCCAGGTGAAGATGTCAGAGTCGGGTATCAAAATGACGTCGTATTAATGAATGCTTGGAATTTTCATTTTTTTGTGGACTGTGACCTCATCTTATGGCCGGCCCATTAAAGAATAGCCCAATATTGAAACAATAATAATAGAAATAGCGATCGGCCCATCAACAGAATTACCCAATTAATAAAGATCCAAATCTAAAGGCTTCGTAGCCAATATATGGCCCATTATAGCTATTACCTCCTCCTCCTCCTCCTCCATCTTCTTTTATTTATTTATTTATTATTATTTTTAAAGATTTGATAGCTAATACCATTTGACTGATCATGAATAATTATCCTTTTTCTTTAATTTAGAAGAAAATTTAAGGAGATTTATAAGCAGATCCTATTAACCAAACTTATTTATTTATAAATATTTTCCTTCACTTATCAATATTTCTAAAAAAATATATTTTAGGACTTATTGATTCATTAAAAAAATGCGCAAGACTTGTAGATTATTATGTTCATTACATAGGACTAATCCTTAATTTACCTAAAAATGATTAAATTGGTTTGTGAAAGGGGAGTGGAATAAAAAATAAATTTTTTTGACTCCGTTTGGTAAGCCTCTCAAATTATAGTTTCACCTATTGATTTGAGTGTGTTGTTTGTTTTGAGCTTTTAAATCATAATTCTATACCCATTTCTCAAAACTCAATTCAAAACATAATCATTACTTTTAAAAACTCATAATCAAACACATAATTCAAAACTCTTTTCAAAATCCAATTCAAATCAATATTTTAATTTTTTAAAATATTTAAATTTTAAATATTTGAAAAATATTTTAGTTTTGTTAAGATTTTAAATATTTTAATATTTAAATATGTTATGATTTTTTTAATTTTTTAATTTTTGAATATTTTTAAATATTACGATTTTAATTTTTAAAATTTTAAAATATTTTATAAAAATAAATTCAAACTCTATTTTATAAAAATATTTTTAAATATTTTAATTTTTTTGTTATGTATTTGGTTACGATTTGAGTGTAGAGTTGTGAAAGTAATATGGAGTTTCGAGTTATGTGTTTGGTTTTTTAATAGTGTGAAAGTAGTGTGTTTTGTTATGAGTTATAACAATTTGAATTAAGTTTTGAAAACTCTTTCCAAAACTCATAACCAAACAAATTTTCTTACTTCACATGTCAAATCAAACTTTCAAAACTCAATTACACACTCAATTCAACACTCTATTAAAAAACCATAATTAAACAAATTTTCTACACTCAAATCATAATTTCACAACTCACAAACTCAAAATACAACTTATACTCTCAAATTATATTTACAAAACTCTATCAAACGCAATCTTGAATCGTAATTCCACATTGTCCTTTGAGTGTTGTGTTTGGTTAGTAATTTCACAAATTGATTCCACATCCACTTTTGAAAACATGTCTATCCGGTCATCCTCCCGAATGTCCCCCGGACGTTCGGCTGGTTGACTAGAACAGTGTTTTTTTTTTCCACCTGTTATTTTTATATTTTAAGTAAAAAATATTTTCAGATTTTTTTTAATTTTTTTTATGAGCTTTGAATAGAATTTTAGATTGTGTGTTTGGTTATGAGTTGTAAATTTTTAAATCAAATATCATATGTCACATCATTCAATTTAAACTTAATTCAAAACTTTTTTTAAAACTCATAACCAAATAAATTTTACATACTCAAATCATAATTCTAAAACTCACAAACTTAAAATACAATTCTATTATCAAATCATAATTCTAAAACTCTACCAAACGCAACCTTAATTTTTTTTTTTTTTTTTTTTTTTTGGGATTAAGAGTTCATGTGGGATGTGGGTTGATTTTTTGGCTTTTTAGCTTTTTGACCATTTTAGCCTGAGACTAAAAAATCTTATTTGTGATAGACTTTTTGGTTTTTTAAACTTTTGTTAAAAAAAATAAAATAAAATGATTATGAGTTGGATGTGATATTTTGTCTTATTTAACTAAAATAATTAATTTTGTCCTATATAACTATTTTAGCATAAACTTGCTTCCCAAAGGATTGTAAGTACTTTTTAATAATTTTAAATGAAAGGTATAACGAATAGGCACCCATTTTGTTTTGAGATGAAGTATAATGTATAGTGATTTTTCTACTGGTTCTAGTACAATTTTAGATGATAACTTTGTTGATTAATTTCTTTATTGAGAAAAATCAATTAATAATACTAAGTACACACAATTAAGATATATAATTTGTACAGAAAATATATTGTATGGCTGAGATTTATTTCAAATATAACCCACTCGACTTACAATAAATTTCAAATAATGTATTTTCTACATACATTCTTGTTCTAATTTTGTGTACCTAACACTACTCAAAATCAATTATTCATTACTCACTTTGAAAGACTAAAACATATATGGAGACATAAGTGAGACAAATAGAGAGGCAATTAGTAATATCTTATTTATGATGATCCTTACATAAGATCACATTCTTGCACACATGACTTCAAATGAAACAGTGAAATCACTAAAACTACAAACACAAAACCAAACAATCAAACCCCAAACTTCAAAACAAGTACTCAACAATGGACAGACCCGAACATCCAGGCCATGGCACTTGAATCACAACCATAAGTCCTTTATAACCAAACTCAACATCTTCCCCATTAATCCTACAACCTCTTGGTTTCTCCGACGCGAAAATCCTCATCTCCCCACTCCCTTTTACCCCAACCTGAACCTTGTTATTGATCTCATCATCATATATCACCGATTGAATTGCACCCCCAGTATTGAGCATGTTCACCAACCCAATCGGAGCAAACTGAATCGAATTGTTTGATATGATTGTGACAGGAGAGACCGTTATGAGCTCAAAATTGAATGGTTCGAGCGAAATCTCTATGGTATCAGCAGGCTTTGAGAGTATTAGCTTCTTTTCGCGGAACATGTAGAGAGCGAAGAGTTGGGATGGTGATTCAGTTGAGATTATTGGGTTTGGGCTGTGTTTCCACTCGATGTCTTTTGGGCTGGTTGTTGCAGTGACGGTGTGGGAACATTCGGAGGCACATTTGTTGCAACGGGACTCGCGACACCAACCTCCGCCTTGGCAGTTGAATGCTCCGAGAACTCCGGTGAACTATTAAAAAAATATTATAATGAGTATAATCATGATATCACGTCAAAAGACTGACATCTAACTTTCTGTACAACTACAGAGATATTGTAAAATTTGGACACTCATTCATGCACCTTATAAATGATTATAAAAAACATTTTCCGTGAATTAAAATTAAATAGCTTTTAACTTTTTGCTATTATAGAGACAATAGCAGGTTTAAAAATTGTTCAAAAGGTGGATTAATGTAAAATTATTTAGATTTTTGTGCAAAATATATTTTTATAAATACTCCTAATTGCATTTGGTGTAACAAACTTTTTAAGAGTTTAGTGGCAGCGTAGCTCCTACCTAGTCCATGTGTTTGTCATTTTAAGAAGACAATCTTATGTGGTACATACAAGTAGTAGAGCTAAAGGTTTTTTGAGAATTCAGAATAAAAATAAAAAATGAGATCATAGACTTTTGAAATTTAGAGCTTTTGTAATAAAAATTGTTTGATTAGGCGATGAGTTAAAAGGCTTAATGGTTGTACTACTTTTCTATACAAAGATATCAACAACTTCAAAATTATTCAATAATTTTAAAATATTATTATAATAAGTGTATATAATTATTCTGATAAATAATGTCATGCAAAATGTTAACAACTTTATTTCGTAACTCGAGTTTTTCGTGGCTCGAGTGGTTTGAAATCTTAAAATGACGTCGTTTTAAGATTTTTTTTATTCTCTTATCGGTAAGATAATATTTTTCGTACTATTCGAACCATTCGAGCCTTACTTTTTTGAGCTACGGAGCATAAATCAAATGCTAAATAGGCCAATCTTGTTTCCTAACTAACAAACTAAAGTGATAATTTAGCTGATCATTGATCTTATTGATTTGACAATACCGTGTCATGTACGCACTAACTTGATCTTTGCCCATAGAATAGTCAACATCATAACATTAAAATTTAATTAAGTTCCATCCCTACCATGGCAAACAACAGTATATCAAATAAATGTTTGGTTTTAATTTCGAAATCAATTTTTTCAAAAAAAAAAAAAAGAAAGAAATTAACTTAATGAAAAAAAGAAAATAATAATATATTTTTAAATTACACCTCCAAAAAATATGAAAATAGTGGTGAGTGATTTAATTTATTATTATTTATAATAATTTAATTTAATTTTTTAAATTAAAAAAATATATTACGAAAAATCAAACCAAAAAATATATTGTATTGCTAACGATGATAAATGAGAGAAAGAGAGAGAGAGAGAGAGAATAAAGCAAACCTTGTTAAAGTTCCAAATTTTGAGCATGGTCTTCCCATTATGGAGCGGGTCATGAAAGAGACAATCACGGGTCGGGAGGGCATAGTAATCGCACCGCAAGATCGAGCCGTCGGGCAAAACCAAGGTTTTGAGGAGTTGGAAGTTGTGTTTTCCGACAGAGTCACTGACGTAAATGGGTCCACCAGAAATGGCTCGAGAGGCAGCGTGGAACTCGGCACAAGGGTGGGTGGACTGGAACATGTCCCAGTCAGGGTGTATGAAATTGCCCATCCACAAGCTGTTGTAAGCACAATGCACCATGTGACAACCTTGTAGCCAGAATGTCCCATTCGGATCCCCAGACGGGTCGGTGCACCAAAAGTCATCTCCTGTAAAATATTTATCAAAATAATAGTAACATACATTATTAGCAATGGGTCGGGCCAATACACACCTCATATATTTGAAAAACAGCATTCACCTGTTTAAATTTTAAAAAAATTGAATTTTTTCGTATTTTATATTTTTAATGATTTTTTAAAATATTTTAAATAATTTTTATACCTTTTAGATATACTTAGTATAAATATAATTAAAAAATATAATATTTGTGATTTTTTATTTTAAAATTCACTAAATACCAAAAAAAAAATTTAAAAAACAAAAATTCAGTACTTTTTCATATTCTTGTGTATTTATTGATTTTTTAAAAATATTTTACATTTTAGGTACATGTATCTAGGTTAGGCGCATCTAAAAAGTAAAAAAAATTACTTTAAAAATTAAAAAAAAAGCAAATTTAAAAAAAAAAAATACAAAAAACAAAAAACTCAATTTTCAGAAAATTAAAACCACATAAGATGATTACTATTTAAGTCTGAAAATTAGATCTACTTTTTAAGTCCAATGATGTGGTAATTAATTAGGATATCTAAGGTAACATTCTCTCTTATATCTTCCATAATCATCAACCAATCATATTACTCACATTAGGTTTTTAGAAAATAGGTCTAGAAAGTATTTTTATGTTGTTCTGTACTCAAAACGACGTCGTTTTGGCCATTTGAGCCATTTTTGAGCCACAAAATTTGAGCTACGTAGCATTGTCGTGATGTTTTAATAGATAGTCACATCAAATTTAAAATTTTAGTTTAACTTTTGAATTAGAGTAGCTACTTCAATGAGTGTAAAAATAGCCTACAGTTTGGGATAGACTCGACCAAATTAGGCCCAAGCCGAGCGTGGGACCCTAGGTCTAAGTTGGGGCCATTAGTTTGAAGCTTGGCCCGACCCGTGTCCTTGGCTCATCAGCCCGATCAAGATCTACTCAAGCTTGACCTGAGGCCCAGTGTTATTTTTTGTGGGAAAAAAAATAAACTTTTGGTGAAAAAAATAGAAATAAAAAAATGTTCAAGCCTTATCCAAGCTCGAGCATAAGCCTATCGGCCTGCCCCAGGCCCAAATACCCCCTAAATTTAGGCCTAATTTTCTAGCCGAAGCCAAGTAGGACCAAATTTACACCCCTATACTTCATATATATTTTTATAAGTCATGGGTTTGTCTCCAATCCTTCAGGCCAATTGGACAATACAGTTTTAGGTTATTAGGCATTACAAATCTCATTTCAACAATTTGAACTATTTATATTTTTAATATTTATGTACAATTCATTTATTAAAAAAATATTAATATGATAAGCCTAGTCACACAACTTCAATATATTTTTCATTAAATATGCCATTTTTTCTTAAGAAAATAAAAATATTAAAATTATCTGATTATACTTATTGGATCAAAATAAATTTTCAAAAAAAATAAAATAATACATTAATATTTAAAAAATAAATAATTCAAACCGTTAGCCATTAAAATAAGAGTATAAGCCCGATTCTTCTTTAAGTGCAGCTAATTACTTCCTCTTGCAAGCTTGCCTAAAAGATTGTGGAATATCACCAGGTTCGTGGGGACCCACACAAGTCCACCACGATTTTTGCAACAATCAAAGCATAAGATTTTGAATTAATTAATTACTACACGTACACGTTCTGATTCAGGGATATATAGCTGTATATATACGTGGTGGTCATTTACAATGATTTAAATAGATTGAGTAGTGTTTTGGAAAGGAGTAATGCTATGATTTTAAATAATTTATTAAATATTTTATCAAATTTTTGTTACACACAAATTTACACGTGTGTAGATCCCACACCTATAAGAGATTTGGTAAAATATTTGATAGATTATTTGAGATTCCTAACATTACTGCTCCATTTAACCTATGCTCAGTCTCTAAGAAAATGCAGATCACTACACGACAGAATGAGGAGAGCAATTTTGTAGACCAAAATTTGATGCTTTGTTTCTAAAAGTATTTTTCCATTACCTTTTTCTATTATTTTTGTTGAATTTAGTAACAAATGAAGGAACTATCTATGTTTTTCACATTGAATTCTAGCAAAATTGATGCAAGAATGCGAAATTCCTTCGAAAAACGTTGCCAGTTTAATGATTTTCATAAAAAATTGATAGAGAGAGAGCGCGAAGAGTTGCACTGTGATAGAGCTCGTGTGAAGTGGTTCTGCCCACACTATGACTAAAGCATGGCGTTAACACCGGTGGTCGTTGGTTGTGCCGGTCAACAATGGTGATAGAAGATGGAGAGATCAACAAGGGTAGAGAGAGAGAACAATCAGACTTATTTACCTGACTTTGAATAAAAACAATTTTAAACTTCTAAGTTTTGAATGTTAAGCAGGAAGTTGAAAAGATTGTGAGAGAAGGAAAATTGTTTAGTGGTGGGACCTACTAATCTTAGGTGACAATATGATTGGTTATTTTTTTAGAGTCTATAGCATTACTTAAAAAAAAAAAAAAATCTGTATCATTTCTATTAAATTTAGATAATGTCATTTACTTCCTCTCCTCAACTAATATGGTTCCGTTCTAAGAAAAATAATAATAATAATCATACGGTTACAGACCAACTAATTAGGGACCCACTTTATTTGAAAAATTATTATAAGCTATCGTTTAAACTCAAATAATGAAATTGAACAAGTACATATATATGCAAATATATATATATATATATATACTGATTTTTTATACAAAAAAGATTTCATTTATAAATATGAAGTATATATCATGATGAACATTTGATTATTAATGAATAAATATAAATGAAAATATATTTGCTATTGAAGGATTTTCACTGCTATTTTCCATCTAATATTTTTAGAATATTGGTTTTGTTTTATTTATTTATTATGTGAATGATATGTAATAATATTTATTTCTCTAGTAAAATAGAGATAAAGGCGATATATGGAATGTATATGGGGGGTGTGATTTTAATATAATACATACCGACACGACCAAGAGCAATGGCCTCGGTTCCAAGGAACATGAAGTCGTTGCAGTGCTCCATACTAGCAATAACGCCATTGCCTTTGAAGTGCTTCCTCACTGAAGATGTCAATGCTTTGTAGTATGCTTTTGCTAGCTCCACTCTTCCCCCATACTCCTCACTCAACATCTCCAGCAACTGTCCCAAATCCCAATATGTAAACATGTAAGAAAATAAAAATTGTATTCATATAGAAAAAATTATACAAAAAGTATCACAAAAATGACGTAATAAAATATTTATTATTAAGAGTTGTTTTGCAAAGATGGTTAAAAGTTAGTTTTTTAATTTTTTTGAAAAAACGTATAAAAAATTTAAGAGATGATATAACCCAAAATAAATTAAAAACTAAAAAATAACTTTTAACTATCTTTCCAAAAATAGTATATCATTACTCTGTTTAATTATGTCAGGGATTAGACAATCAAAACCCTTTCACAATATAGAAGGATATTATTTGTTTTTTTCCTTAGGTTCGCTTTTCTTTTTCTTTCTTTTGAAGTAAGGAAGCACTAAGATCAATTTAACAAAAATAAATAAATTGCAAAAGAAGTCTTAAAGTTGAAAACCCTCTTTCAATACAGTAAACAAATCCTATCTTAAAAAAAAAAAAATACAGTAAACAAAGAAGATGAAGATCAATGGTAGAAGAAAATAAAATTAAATATACTTTACTCTCTGAGAGGCTTTTGTCCAGTCCAAATCTAGATTGAAAATATATTTTTAGGGTCTCATTTTGATGAATTGAATCATTCATATTTTAAGACCTTATGGCCATGTTTGTTTGGGCGGACTGGATTAGTATTCCTATGACTAATAGTCCTCGGACTACGAATCTGTTGAATTATGTATCCTATCTTAACTAATAGTCAAATTTAAAATAATTAGTCCGTACTTCAATTGTTTAACCAAATATCGAATTAATAATTTTATTGAACTATTAGTCTAATCACAAGCTCATGTCTACCCAAACAAACATGACCTATATATATATATATCATGAAAAATTAAATCAATTCTATAACCGTAACATTTTTATTTTATCATATTTATCTTTTATTTTTTTAGTAACAAATGTAATAAAATAAAAATATTATAATCACCAAAACAATTTTTTTAAAAAAATAAAAAATAAATAATTACAATTATCCAAATAGGACCTCTACCATGCCTCTCCGATCCAAACGAGGACTTTCCCTCCTATTTCCTCTTTGGGACACCTTGCGTGTATTGACGCGACGAATGATTTAGCGTGTCCGAAACTAAACCACACTTTAAAACTAACCAAAACGTCTCGTTTTCTTCAAGCAAGTAATTAGTCGGAAGTTGGTTATTTTAAGAGGTTGTTTTAGTTTTTAATTATTTTAAGAAATTAAAATTTTTGTGTCTAAATAGATGGTTAATTTTTTTTTATAATTGGACAAAATGTTTGTAAGAAAAAAAAATTACATATTTAATATGATATTTTATTTTATTAATTATTTTAACTTATTTTATTTTATTTTTTTAATGAATTTTAACCAAAAAAAAAAAAGAAAAAAAAAGGGACAAAAAGTCATTTGACAAACTGGGCTTGTTTCGAGAACTCACATGGATAACGTCGACTTTGACTCCATCAATGCCAACCGACTCCAAGTGCGAGTGTAAACCCTCGTACATCTGTTCAACCATCTCAGGTGGGACCAATCCAACTCCATTGTTCACAATCTTATCCACAGCTAAATCTTCCATTGTCTTCTGTAACCCAGGTGACAACTTAGGCTCCACAACCTTGGATTCGGGTAATCCGGGAATATCAGGTCTAATCCCGCCCCAATATCCGCACAGTGCGTGCCATACATACACGTAGTCGACACTCTTAAATTCCTCCTTCAGGTCCTTAATAAAGGCACCCATGCCTTTTGGGGCAGCAGAGCCCGAAATTGAATTTTTCAGGCTCTGATAATCTCTGAATTTGTAATTCTCTTCGAATTTTATGAGCCTGCATGGCATTTGCTCACCGGCGGAGGTCCGATTCATGCCTTCTTGGGTAATCGGGTCGTCGTCATGGGATATGGATTGCCACCCGTCGTCGATGAGCACAAGCCCGGGTGGGCACCCGCCCTCCACGAGCCCCTTCACGCCGTCCCAAACGCCGTGAGGGTGCACCGTAAGGTAAAATGCGTCCCACGTGCACCAACCGAATTTGTCGACGATTCCCGGTGGAGTCTTCTCTTTTAAAAGCTTGAAAGTCCCGAGGTGAGCTCTGGCAACTTTAATGGCGTCTTTTACGAGACTGTATGGGTCGTCGCCAACATGCATGTAAAGCGCAGCCCGAAACGAAGATTCAGAGACCTTCGTCGACCCGCTTTCCATGCAAATGCTGACGTTGTCGTCGTTTCCGGGCTCGAGACATGCCCGGAACGGACCCTCAATCAGAGGGAGGAGGATGACGTAAGGCCGGCCCGCATCAGACCGGTCTAGAACCACCATTTGGGTTTCGTTTTCGAGGTCGCCGCCATTGGATCCGATCCAGTGGGTGGTCCACCAGACCTTGAACCGGAAAATGCTCATGAAGCGTATCCCCTTAAGCTTGCCGACCGGCACAATATGCCGGCTTTTTGGCTCCGCTGAATGGAAGCCGACAAAGCTGCCTGCTGTGGTTTTAGTCGGCTTCTCAGCCGAGCCGTAAGGCGAAGGAAAAGCTACGATGTTCGATGGAACATCGGTGAGAATGACGTGGCCATTGGCCTTAAAATTTGACCCTTCCAATGTGATTAACGACCCGGTATAGCCGTCGACGAGCTCCATTAAATCAGAGCCGGCTTTGTTCAAACTCGGAGCCATTGATGATAATGAAAGAAACAAAATGAATGTTTACTATATAGAGAGCTAGAGAGAGAGAGAAATAGAGGCTTTGTTGCTGAGAGTGAGAAGCAAAGAACCCAAGTGAGGGTGTTTATATAGAAAATTAAATGCGGAATCGCTGTGAAGATTCTTTGGTAGTGGTGATCTTGATGAAATGAAATACTTTTTTGCCTTTTTTTTTTGTTGTTGATATTTTTGGAAGGTTTATCTGGTTTGTTAACGGTGAGACATTTGGCAATTTCAAATTTATAGGCAAAAAATGAAGAGATGGAGTTGGAAGGTTCAAAGAAAGTTGAGATGGGTCGTCGGTGGGTCTACCTAGTGAAAGTGCCACTCTTCTTGTATTGATAAATTAATATATGATTCAACCAAGGGTAGAGATTTTAAAAATTTTATTGAAAGTTTTATATAGGCACAAAATTTACACCATATGAGTTTTATATAGATCTCACACTGATATATTTGATAAAAAATGTAATAATTTTTTTTTAAATTTCTAATTTTTTTTATAGGATTCTCCATATTCCTTTTTCAAAAAGAAGGTTCTTCACCACCATGGAGACATCGATTCTTTTATGCCTCCAGGATTATGGTGACATGTGTTACATCTTAAGCTACGAGAGAGATGGGGATTTTTTTTTGCACAAAGATGGTGTTTGGAAAGTGAGTTTTTATGTAGATTTTTTTAAATGTAGGATATTATTGAAATTTTTTTTTTTTTTTTTTGTGTTTGGAAAGATAGTTGGATTTTTTTTTTGTGGTTGGATGTGATGTTTATGAGAGAAAAAGTAAAATAATTATGGGGTTGGATGTGATATTTTATTTGAATGCATTTTTTTTGATTTTGCAAAATTTTTGTCTTTTAGTAAAAAAAATGAGAAAAAAACACAATAAAATTCTTCCCAAACACCACCGAATCCCTCAATTTTTAAGCCAATATTATTTTATTATTCTCATTTAAATTCATATATTTTTACCTCATTAACTAATTCATTATAAATTTAGTGAAAATGAAAAGTAAAAAAAAAATATTGTCAATGCATCTAGAACATCCTTGAAAATACAATTCATTTCTTTATTTTTTAATTGAGTTGAACTTCTGATATTGTTGATTTAGACTGGACAGTTCAATCTAAGTCAGTAAATCCATCATATGCCTTATTTCAATCAGTTTTGTTTCATATATTTTTTAAATGTTTGTGTATATAATCAATGAAAAATCACATTAATTTAATAACGTAAAAACACATTATTTTATCATATTAAATTTACAGTATATTCTTGAAATTATATTTATAAATCATTTTTTTAAAGAATATGATGAAATCATATGATTTTAATTAATTGATATTCTTTGGCCTCGGTTGGAAAGTTAACTATTTTAGTAAGCTATTTTAATTTTTGACTATTTTAATAGGATAAAAAAATTTGTGTTTGAAAAGATTGTTGAATTTTTTTTGTAGTTGGATGTGATATTTGTGAGAGAAAAAAGTGAAATGACTATGAATTTGATGTGACATTTTCTCTTATTAGTTATTTTAGCATATTTTATTTTTTTTGTAAAAAAAAAAAAAAATATTTGCCAAACAAGACCATTATAAGGTGGGACCTATAACAGTGGTCCGAATGTATATTCGCTCACATCATAAACAACATCCCATTTGAGTCCATGGAACCAAGAATCCTCCACTTGCAGTATCTTAGGCTGTATAGTGCTGCGAGGAATCGTTGGTGGCTTATCAACAATGAGACCTATTGATAACATGGTCCATGGATTCCTTGTTACTTAAGTTATTTGTTTTATATTTTTAACTATTAAATTATATAAATTTTTTGATGAAACAAATAAATTTTCAAAGTTAAATTAATATTTAAAAAGATACAAGTAGAAGAAAAAAAATTAAAAAACAAAGAAATAATGCTCTATTTGGTTCACTAGAATAAGATGAAATATAGTGAAATGACCATTCATTTGGCTCTCATATAGAATGATTATTCCCTTATAATGGTGAATAAGAATTTTATCTTTCACACATTTTTCATCATCTTTTAGCCAAACCAAACATAGGAATGATATTTTATATGAAATTATGATTCTATTCCACTTTATCCGGGGAACCAAACACTACCTAGGTGTTGCAAAACATACTCTGTTTTTTGAGTCTTCTAGCGTATTCATCCCTAAGTATTAAAAGCAAATCTTTTTTCTTATTCCTCTATTTTGTATTTTATCTTTTAACTCCTCTAAGAAAAAAATACTTATGTTTTATTTAAATATTTTGTTTTAATTTTCAATCTCATCTTTTAATTTCATATCATTATTATGTTGTTGTTACAAACAAAATCAAATCACAGAATATTATAGGACAAATGATGCGATGAGAAGGAGATAAACAATCCAAATAAGGCCTACATAAATTACTTCACAAATTCAAAATCCAGCCACAATATTCAATAATAAATTTAGAAAGAATAAAAATTCCAATAGTGAAGGGAAAATTTGTTTATTGTTTGAAGTGATTATTAATACAATGTTATGTTGGTCGGTGCTTTTATGTCAAATGGTACATACCAATAGAATATTTGGCCTAGTTAATGTAAAATCCACCACTAAGGAACACAACATGTGATAAAAGACTATTAGTAGGTCATCCTAATTAGTAAGATAGTTTGCTCCTCTTTTCACTGCTCAGGATTCGAATTCTCTACTACTTAAAATAGAAGTTTAACAGTTTAGGTGAATTGATTAGTTTCTTTTAATTTAGCTTGTAAAGATGGATCATAAGGGTTCGAATTCCATACTACTCAAGTAGAACCAGACACAATATTCAATAATCAATTTAGAAAGAAGAAAAATTCCAATAGTGGAGAGAAAATTTGTTTATCGTTTGTAGCGATTATTAATACAATGTTTTGTTGGTTGGTGCTTTTATGTCAAATGGTACATTCCAATAGAATATTTGGCTTGAGGGTTTGTTTGGCGTGAAGCTTTGGGTTGGGTTGGGTTGGGTTGGGTTGGGATTATTTTAGTCATAAAAAAATAAAATAGATTTTTTAATTCAATAAGACAAAATGTCATATCCAAACCATAATTATGCCATTTCTTCTCTCACAAAAGTCAAAAAAATAAAAAAATCTATCCCAAACGAGGCTTTTTAACCTAAGGCTAAAATAGTTAAAAAACCAACCCATATCCTAAACGAAGGCTTAATATAAAATTCACCACTAACATGTGATAAAAGACCACTAGTCATTTTAATTAGCAAATGAGTTTGCTTCTTAGTGATTAGGATTCGAATTCTCTACTAGTTAAGTAAAAATTCAACGGTTTAAGTGGATTGACTAGTTCTCCCAGTTTGACTTGTAAGGATGGATCGTAAAGATCCTACCTTAAAGGTATTTTGGGCATCTACAAAAGAAAAAAAAAATGTGATAAAAGATTCAACAATGCAAATGTTTCAATTTTCGGTACAAAATAAAAAATATATATTGCAGCAATGTTAAGAGTAATTAAATTTGGTTATAACTTCTCAATCCAAAAGAAAAAGAAAAAGAAAAAGAAAAATTATCAAAATAAATAAATAAAATAAAATTTTATTTGGTTATCAACTTAATGGCATCTCACAGGCATAATTACATTATTTCATGAACTTATTTAAAAAGTATCAAACCTAATATTACAAGATCTATTAAAAAAAATAAAAAGAGCTTTGCTATAATTGGTTCACATAATCAATTTTGTTAACCATTTCAGTCCACTTAGCCTCTTTTTTTTTTATTTATTATTATCAATATTAATATATAAAGTAAGGCCAAGTTTGGCATACCTCAAATAACCCATTTTTTTATCTTTTTATCTTTTTTCCATCACATCACCTCTCTATTTTTTTGTACATCTTTTCATAAAAAGACAAAAAGTACATTTATTTAGGTCATCCCAATTGTCTCGTAAATATTGGACTTAGCGTGGATAACATAATGCCTCATCACTAATGTATACTTTAATACATTATTAACAACTAAATCAGTATATAAAATAATAAAATAAAATTATAGAAATATATTACCATTGTAATATTACTCATATTTTATTGTATCGCAAATTTTGATCCGGATCCCCATGTCAAACAGCTTTAATAAATAAATAACTAAACTTAAATAAAAGTAATATTATTATTATTTTAAAGATAAATTATAAATATATTTTTTGAAATTTACGTAAAATACGGATTGCCTCTTATGTTTTAAAAAATTATAAATACATCCTTACTAGAATCTTTTATATAATTAACTGAAAAAATAAAATTACTAACTAATCTCCTATATGATAATAAAATTACTTGAATTATTAATTGAAATAAATTCTTAATATCATTAAAAATGAAGAACAGACTGGTACACACTCATATGCACCTTATAACTACAGAAAAAAAATTATATAATTATATATTTTTTGAGTCATAACTCAAAAAAGAAAAAGAAAAAAAGAAGAAGTCATAATTAAAAAGAAAAAAAAGAAGTCGTCATAATCAAACCCAAAAATGTCATAACCAAATATCTCAAAATAATATCATAATTAAAGAAGAAAATAGCATAACTAAAAGTATGTATGATATATAAATGTGTATAATAAATTTTTCCTAAAAACTATTAATTAATTTAATAATTTATTAATAAAATAATTATTTATTATAAAATTAAAATTTTTAAAAGCAAATTAAGGTGTATCTATAATTTACCCTTTTTACAGGCTTTGAGGTGGGGAAATTCTATTTCCATATATTTAATTATCTTAGTGCATATTTTCTCTCAGTACACACACTTGTTAATTTAATTATTAATTAATTTTCTCAATTTACACACTAAAAGTTACAATTGTATCATTCACTAATAACCATTGTACACACACTACTCAACCCTCATTTCCATACACTTGTTGAGTGATCCTACTTCTAGATTTGTAAACCCATGTGAAGACCATTCAAGATCACATGTAAATTGAAGTGAAGTGAAGACAAAATCCTCCATTGAGCCTCCGTTTGGGAAGTAGGTTGGCTTTTTTGGCTATTTTAGCCTGGGCTAAAAAGTTTGGTTTATGAAGGGCTTTTTAACTTTTTGGTTTTTTTTGTAAGAGAAGAGTGTAATGATTATGGGTAGGATGTGATATTTTAT